CTCATTTGCACTTTCATATTTACTGCAACTAGCAACAAAAATCTAAATATTAGACAAGAAACTTTCTACTTAAAAACTTTTGTTTTCCATTTGAGCACTGAAAATTGTTAATGACAGCTTATCTCAATGATTGTTGGAAAATCATTTTTTCATATTATCTACAAGGTGTCCAAAAAGTCTAGAACCACAGATAATTTGGAGTTTTTCTTAATTTCAGATACCTGACTGATTATGGCAATGCAAGGCATGAGAAGGTTGAGTTACTGCTGCTGTTAATCTAAATTTGTTTCGAATTACAAGGGCATCATGTGGAAGACATTCTGTAAAATTCATTGAAGTGCCTATAGTTCCACTTGTTGGACACCCTGTACATGAAAGTAAATCTCTTACAAGTACTGCAGGACTGCATAGTACCTAATTTTACAACTTATTTAATACTGTAATGATACTATTGAGTTGTTACTTCAAATTCACAGTCTACTAAACTGAACCAATTTATTGTAGATGTAGCATGACTAGCTTATGACTTGTAACTGTAAGAAAAAACAAAAGCTTGCAAGTTGGGACATCATATGCTATGCACAACAACTCCAAAGATTTGAAAAGCTTTGCATTTTGAATGTTAACAAAGGGCCAAATGGAAACAACAGTTGTTATCAACTTGATTACATTCATGAAAGATGTTCATTTTTGTAACACAAATGTTATTTCACTTTCACCACATACAATTTGTATTGACATATGAAGATACTACTTGAATAAAGTTGAAACTATTTCCTTGAAAATTAGCATTATTTGGTTTAAGGATTTAGGTTTTCCTTCAGTTTTATACAGTACTGAAAAGATATGTAAATAAAATGTTCTAATAAACGTATAACTTGTTGGGGAAAAAAAACAAGACATTGAAGATTTAGTAGCATGGGTAAATTAGGAAATTTATGTAACAGTTTTTTATTAGTTGAATTTTTAAAGGGTTACTTTTCCAACATGATACAATGGCCTTATATACATGCATTACAACAATTTATGTGCAATAAAGAAGTAATTACTGTGCTCATAATTTCTTCATTCATCTAGCCATACCCTTCTAGGAGTAGTCTAATCTTGAAGCTCCAACTCCCTCTGACTACCCCTCTTGAAAGACTATTATCAATATAAACCATAGAGTGGTCGCTTGAGAAAGAAACTACTGTATTATATGGTCATAGTGTTAAAATTTTTCGTACAGACACTCTTCATTATATCTAAGTAGATAAACTTTATTTTATTTTGGTTTTACAAACAAAATATTTTTAAATGATTTTTTGAACATCCAATTTTATCATAATTTAAAGTTATGATGAAAGTAGAATACGATAAATATACTCAACTTTATATGACTAGCCACCTCACTTATGTATATAACCTGATCTTAAAATGGTAATTAGCTTTAAATAATACACTTGTTAAGGGAAATGAGCTAAAAAAATGGCCATACAAAATATACTGAGGTTGAGTTCACATGAAATTTCATAGGTGGCAATCAGCCCAAAATTTCAGTTTGTTAACAGTGGAAGTGCTGGGGTTAGTGAGAGTTTTCACTCAGAGTTTTGCAAGTCTTTCTATTTCTATTATCATTATAGAGGTAGATAACTTACTAGGTTATATTTCAACATAATTTTGTCTGCAACCAATGCTTCACATTTTGATTAACATGAAGCCATACTGTATTAATTAGTTCCCTTGTTTTTAAACAAAATCAGCAGAGAAAAGAAACAAGTATAAATAAACAAATGTATCACTAAATAAATACTATGTATAGCTGGCTACTGAATGTGAAAAAAAGAAACCAAAAAAGATAGGGATGGAAATGGAAATATGACTTGATTGGCTAATGCTTTTGTTTAGCTAGTGCGCAAGCCAGTAATGTAGAGATTTTATTATCCATGTAAAGTCGATACAGCTTAGTCTGCTATGTGATTATTAATTTTTTTCCTTATACTTCTTTGTTTACTTTTATAAGATGGTGCATGTGGGTTATTAGGTTATAGAGTGTATTATCAAGTTTTGTAATTTTTGCATAGAAAAATAATAAAACAGGTAGTCTGGATCTGGCAGTGAGTGTGTTGTTGGTCAAGTATCTTATTTTGTATTTTACTCTTTTATTATCCATTTCTTTATATGTTTGGTTTTCCTCTTTTACCTCATTGAAACTAACAGTCAACTATACTTGTTCTATCATATTACTCTGTACATCCTATTTTCTGACCACTGGCTCTTTACCTTACAGCTATTCACCTGCACCATGGTTGCTTTCTTCAATGATCAAAGGAAGACTGTTTATGTGAAAGTTAGGTGAAATACCCTTTCTTTTGAAATAATCTGTAATTATATTGTGGTTTTTCTTCAATAAAATATACAAAATGCTATTTAAAGCTTTATTTTTAGAGATGGTACATTTATATTTTATTTATTTTCACTGCACTGATTATGAAGGTCACTATGCAATATTCAATGGTGGTTAAGTGGGGTGAACAATACTTGGATCTGCATTAAGGAAATAATAACCTTGGCAACAAAGGTGGTTACTTGTTTCCAACTGCCTACAGACATAAAGATATTTCAATGTGACAGTTTGTATTTTGTCCTTTTGTTGGAAACATTACTAAAACAAAAGGAAATTCCCCAGCCAAGAACAAAATAATCACGGTTGTAATTAAAAAATAAAAGTATAAAAAAATACAAAGGTAAACGAGCCACAAGACCTCTCTCAAAGCATTACAGAGGAAAGCATTCAGTCAGATGCAAGTGACTGACTCCCACTTACAGAGATCTGAAAATCCATAAACAGCAAGTTTTTGCTTCAGAAAGGTATGTTTATGTGAATGAAAGTGTAAATTGAATTCATATATATCATGGTAAAGTTCTGTCTCTTAACTATTATCAAGACTTAATATAACCTCATCTATCTATATATTTGATATTACTTTTCAATTTGAGGACTATTCTATGTGACAGAAAAACTGCCATGTGCTGGCATCAATGATTCCAGTTCAAAGAGACTCAGGGGAGGATAAACTGTTGACACTGCCAATTTCACCACAGAAGTGAGAAGGTTATCATACTTGGTCAGTTGTGTTGAGGACTGGAGAGTATTTTGGTATTAAACATTTACGTGGTGAGAATTATGAAGATTCAAACAGACAATGCACCACAAGAACGTTGCTGCTGTTTGGGGTTTCGATATCACAGGTGCCGGACATTCACAATTACAAGTGTGCTCTATCATGAAAATACCCAGTTTAAGCTTTTCAGTGTGATGAAAAAGCTGGTAAGGTAAATATTCAGCAGGTAATAGTGTGTAAATGTTTCATTAACGTTTGATAAAGTTTACTATACATTTTGAAACTAAGGAAAATTATGATTTTATACTCTTATTTATCTGTAACACAAACAGTGTAATTTCCATGCTGCTCTGACAAAGTTGGCTTCGCAATGTGAGCTTTTATTTTTACCCTTGTGAATTACAATGAATGTTTTAATGTGTATACTGTGGTTTCAAAGTGGTATTTTTTGATATTATAATTTCCATTATGAAGATATCAAATAAACTGAAATAATGTTATTTTCCAGATCTAGGGATGAGAAGCTTTAAATCTTACCTTAAGCTTGTCAATATGACCACTGCAAGAGAAACTTTCAAACTGAAGACAAACTAGACAGTACTCTGTACTGAAAGCAACATAATAAAATACATCATTTGATAAATAAATCTTTGGCTTTCTATTGGTTATAAATAATATAGTATAAAACGTCAGAGAGAACTATTGATTCGCAATTTATGAAAGAGAGGATGTGTCAAGTGGGTCTTGTAAACAAATAAGATTGAAGGCCATAAGAACTATATTTTGTCTTAGTAGTATCTATAATATAATGACTAATTTATGTTGAATTCCATACTTCTCAGAGTGTTGGTAAATAAGTAAGAGAAGGGAGAAGACTTAGAGAACAAATATCACAATTCTCATAGTTGGGAAGATTGAAGGTTTTTAAAAAGATTTCCTTATAAAATGAAGAACTTAAAACTTATATAATATTAAAACTAGATTCATTAACTACATTTTGATGCCAAGCTTATTCGTATACAATGTCAACAGAGTAGTTTAATGTAACTCTAAAAAAGTTGTGATATGTGCCCTTTGACCTACCCATAGAGAGAGAGAGGGGTTAACTGAGAACTAGTATGATTACAGTGTATATTACAATAAAATACCACTATTTAACCAGACATTTTGTATTTTTAACTCTACAACTTTCACCATGACCTGTCACTTTGGCCTTTAACCAAATATACATTATTCTGCACATACACATACATCAGGTTACAGAGACTGTTACATTACATGGACTTGAACGTAACTGAACTTATTTGTCAAGTGTTGAAATCACTACAAAGATCTTTAAATTTTACAAAGTTGAACTAAAATTGAGATTTATTTGTGAAGCTTGTGAAAACCACCTCTTAAGTTTATGGTATTGAAGCTTAGGTCATCTATGGTATTCACTAAAATGCTTTTTGTTGCACATACTTGTACTACATCAGCCCATAATTATTTTGAGCAATGTATAAGAAAAAAAATTAACAAGCAGTATGTTGCAAGCATTCCAGCTAAAACGTTTTAAAAAAAAACAATTATCTTATGTTTAGCTATTCGCAGGAGAATATAAAAAATATTCAGCAACTACACTTTAAAATATTCCTGTCTATCTAGACTTCCTATGCTTATCATTTTATGCACATAAAGGCAAGAGAAATATTTCTAGCTTTTAGATAATGTGTTAAAGATTACGTATGTGACTAAAAGTGTGATATTTCCTTTGTTACAAATTGTTTTATACTAACAAACAAAAGCTTTAAATAAGAAATGCTACGGAAAAACTGCATACAAATTCTAAAGTATAAAAACTATAGCCATTAATACATGTAGCCTCATTCATTCTTCCACAAATAAAATGTCTACCTTCTGGTTCTACTTTTTCTATTAGTTCATCTTTTGCAGACTTCATACTGTCATTGCTATCTTCACTGCTGGCTTCATTGCCACTGTCAACAGAGTTCTGTTTTCTTAGTTTTCGTCGTTCAGCCAATTCTTCTTCTTCTTGTTTTTTTATTTCTTGTTGTCTTCTCTTTTCCTTCACTGATTCCTGTTCAAAATACATTTATTACTTTACAATTCAACCCATATAATGAGAAATTTACTCGTACTTTGAACATGCTGACAGAAAAATATTCTATGATTTTTCTAGGACTAAATAGTCATTTTCGAGGACATAATTTACTGATTTTAACAGGAAATGAACTCCACCAAAATTAAATAACTAAAGTTTTTTTACATTTTATAAAAATGCAGTAACAGCTTAAATTTGTTGAAGTATTTCACTTGCTGATGGATTAGAATTCAACTTTAGTTTAAGCTTCTTGATAGCTAAATATTCTTTAATTATTAATTCTTGCTCATTGTCAGAACTTATTATCATATCAGATTTCTTTTCATCTGTAGTCCCATCACATCATTGGTCTACATGTTTGAAGAATTACAAGCACTAGGTTTCAGATGCTCTTTTATACACTGCTTTAAATGATGTGTAATTGATCCCACATAATCTTGTTCATATCGAGACATTGATGTTTGTCCTTTATCTTCAAAATGTTCTCTATTCTCAAAACTAATTATAATGCTACACATACTAAAACTTGTGGATTGTTTCATTTCAAGATATTTTTTATTTTAATCTTCAAAAATTAACTGTCTTTACCATTGAATGGGAGACTTAATATAGGACAGTTTCAGAACATCATAACATGTTTTATTAGGGGTGTACAGATCATTTAAAAACCTTTTGAAAATGTTAAATAATGATAATATGAAATTATCTTATAACAGTATTTTTCATGCTTTCAATTTCGTTATGAAAATATTGATAGTCATTGGCAATATGATAAGCTTTACAAAATATTTATCAAATTGATCATATATTGAACAGGTATAAGGTTCAGTGAACATGACTATACAATCCTGTATAAACTGTTTTATGATACATTCCCATTTCTAAGTGAGTACCAAAGTTGTTAATATCAAGATCTAAAAAAAGATAAATTTAGTTATTTTCTTCTTTAACTGTAAACCTTATACAAGGATTTTGTTTGCTTAAATACTTTAAGAACAAATTCATATGCTTGTTTTTCTTAAATATAACAAAGTAATCATTCAACATATCTATGGCATCTAACAGGATTAAATCTCTAGACAGTTTATCAATCACTGTTTCTCATATCATAAAGAATGTTTGATAGACTAGGTGATAATTTTGAACCTATAACATCATCTTTTTGGTAAAAATATTGCTGTCAAAATTGAAATGATATTTCTTAATAGCAAAATATAATAACTCCATGAAAATCAATTTTGCTAACCCTTGTACAACTGTATCATTTTGAAAAAACAAATCTGATGCTGTATGAATTACCTCCTGCAAAGAAGTATCAATGTAGAGGGCCTTAAAATCAATACTCACACATTACACTTGCTCATCATATTCTAAATCTTACAGTTGTCCTAACCAAATGCTTTAACTCTTTCCTTATGGGCTTGGTCGATGTGACCTACCTTGTAACCACAAAGTAACCATCAGAGTTTCCATACTATAACTTTTGATATGCTTGGTGTATCTTCATGAAGTTTAGCAAACTTTCAGTAAATATTACAAGACATGAGCACAAAATATCAATTTTTCAATTAAGTATTTTTACTAAAGATTTGTTTGTGAATATATGGAGTCACAGTGTTAAATGCTCTGAGTGCAAGGTGATTTTCATGTTAAGATTAAAAATTCTTTTCTCCATCTGAAAATTTTCAAATTTTATTTGCATAACCTCTAAAACATTCCTAAATAAACATCAAACGTTTTTTTTTTTCAAACAAAACTTTATATTTCATTTGCTATTTTCTCTACTTTTCTCTATAAGGACTCAGTAACCACCATAAAAAATATGAAATAAATCTAAATTACCTTTTTCTTTGTAGAATGACTGCAGAAAACTATAACTGTTTGTCCGAAATAGTCTAAAGCTTGTAACAGTCTACACCTATTTATACTTAATTTTACTGTTTTATTGCCCTTGAACTATGTCTCACTAATAATCCTGCCACACAAATGATAAATCACTCAGCTAATGCATAGCTTACATTACTGTATTGAATGACTTAATGTATGAGCTGCTGGTAAACATACCATGTGAAGAATTTTTATTACTATCATTATTTTCCATTATCTTACCTAATCTAACCTAGTAAGTTTATAATTTTTCCATTTTAATTACTCTTATAATAATAAACAAAGAATATACATGAAAAATAAGGAATATAGTACTTACCTTTAACCTTGTGTTTTTGCTGTGGGTTGCTGATGAATTTTAAGCCTACTTTTTTTTTTGTATACTAATGGTACTAGTCCACAAAATTTTTACTTACTTAAATAAATAAAGCATCTAAGAACACAGAATAATAACAGCTCAAAACCAACACTGTCCTATAAACTACCATTTAACTGGCTTTCTATCTATGACATAAGAGCCTTAAAATAATTCCCAGAGGTTCTTGATTTCAACACCATGAGAGAAACTTTCAAACTGAAGATATAATAGAAAATATTCTGTATGAAAAACAATGTAATTTAATATGTCACTTGATAGATTAAAACTCTACCTTTCTATTGGTTATAAACAACAGTATAAAATATCAGAGAGAGCTACTGGCATTTGTAAAAGAGAGAATGTGATAGGTGTGCATGGCAAGTGGGTCTGATTTTCTAGCTTGACTCTGTAAACAAATAAGATTGAAGGCTATAAAAATTAGACTTTGCATTAGTAATATCTATATTATAATGAGTAATTTACATTAAATTTCATACTTCAGGAAGGGATGGTAAATAAATAAGAGAAGGGAAAAGACCTACAGAAATGTCATAATTATCATATTAAAGAAGACTGAGGATTTTGTAAAATATTTCCTTATAAAATTAAGAACTTAAAATTCATATAATATTAACATTTGATTTATTATTTACATTTTAATGCCAAGTTTATTGGTATAGTAATGCTTGGAGACAGCTTGAATGGGTAATGAAGAAAAACTTTAATGTAAGTTTAACATAACAGCAAATGTACAACGTTTCGACAAGATTCTGTCATCATCAGATACAAGTAGTTTACACTGACACAGTGCCAAGATATCTCTTCTAAGTCATGCAACAATATCCAGTCATGTGACCTCTTTGTTCCATACTGTATATATATATAACTACTTGTACCTGATGATGACAAAACCTTGTCAAACGTTGTACATTCGCTGTTATGTTAAACTTATTTTAAATTTTTTCTTCATTACCCATTCAAGCCGTCTCCAAGCATTATTAATCTCAAAGTGGGTTCCTCGTCATCAAATTTATTGGTATAGATTAATAACAAAGTAGTTTAATTAAATTTTGAATATAACTCTCTAAAACATCATGACATTTTCACCTACACAAAACACCAGTGAAAACCTACTGATCTATTATCTTTGAATACTTCATCATTAATGAAATTATCTTTTTTTTGGTAGAATTAAAATCCAGTTTCCTAAATTTAGTTTCATAAGAAATTGCTGTAAGTACTTTACTTACATAATTTTCTCTATTCAAAATAACTATGCCATTCTCTTTATCTGACTTTAACTATGTCTTCTTCTTTAACTTAAATTATTAAACACTTCAATTTTTTTCCTTAGTTTTTTTCACAGGAGTAAAAATAAGTTAAGGCCAACCCTGACATCTATGTTACAATACTATTTTCCACTTTTCCCATAAATAGGATTATCCTTTAGTTCCTTCACAAGTTTTTCTAGGAATACTGAAAAACTTTTAAGTCTCTAGATAACACTTTATTTACTGTTTCTATGAGCTTATAATGAAATATGATTAATGTCATCTGAGTCATCATTAAATGTTTTAATACTCTCTGCTATTTTAAAATAGTTTACTTTCTTTAGATAATTTAATATTTTTCTTAGTTGTTTAATATATGCATTTCTTATAGTTCAACTCATCTTCTGAATTAAGTTTGTTTATTGAATTTCACACAAAGTTATTCAAGGACTATCTGCACTAAAAACCCTTAATTTGAAGTGATAGACTAGAGGAGAGCCAGCTCTGAACTAAGTAATTTATAAGATATCTAAACTACTGAAAAAAAAGCCTTTTTTCCCCTACTTTAATGCAGTAATAAATACCTTATCCTGATTAAAATTAACTGTTATGATAGACATTGAAGTATTCCAGTATTGTACCAAACAACTTACAAGATTCAAATAACAGTTAGGACCACAAGGTTCTATACTTGGTTTCATATCACAATTCTTTTTCTTGAATTGGCTTGGAGTGGGATGAAGAGCTACAAAAATAAAACACATATTATAATTCATTACAAAAACATTAGGAAGAATAAATTATTTATACAACTTAAAATTATGTACCTACCATGTAATGGCACATACTTGCTCTACCTACAATAAAAATCTGAAAGCCATCTTTTCCAAGAATTAAAAGGACCACAAACAGTGTAAACAGCCATGCTAAAAACCGATAACTAATCAGGACACAATGAATAAATAATGTGCTTACTACATTTGCATTAAAAAATAAATGAGTTAACTGAAAAAAACAAAACAGTCAGGGGCTTGTCAAAATAAATAGTTTCCACAATTACCACTTTTAATTGAGATCATTTTATGCATTACAGACAAATTAAATTTCATTAAAAATAATTTTAGTATCTTAAAGAAGACTAGAATTCCAGAGTGTTTAATAGAATGTCTGAAGCATGCAAACTGGAATGTGAAACTATTGTACAAATTTATAATGACACAAAAAGTAATTCATCATTAGAATATAAAATGTTTTTTTTTCTATAATTTTTATCAGCAATGTCCATTTTTTTCTTACTTTTCAACATACATAATCAACTATTTGTAACATGTGTAGCACTCAAAGTTAAATGAAATATTACAACTTAAGGAAATTTAACATAACATTGTGCAAATCATAAACTTCTATATGTTTATTATTTTATTTACTCGCTTGTTTCATGCTTTACACTGATGCAGAGCAAGCAGGTCACCCATTGGCAGGTGACAATATATTTTGAGAAATCTGGAAGTGTCACAATCATGTTAGCTTTTTTATGGGTGTACAGTCATGATCTTTCACTGACTTTAAAAAATGACTAACTGACATACACCAAAATACAAGAAACAGCACTCTACCTAGGAGGGGGCTCCTTTAGTAGCTATGGACAATAGCTAGAGAAGTGAAAAACAAAGTGGCAGAATGCTGCAAATGTGTACAAGTTTACCCAAAGTGAGTTACTGTTAACTTCAGATAAAATAAGCAAATAAAACTATGCAAAATCATACTTTTAGATATTGGATTGAAATAACATATAGACTTGAGTTTCATTGGCTTCAACTTTTATAAACACTTCAGAACTTCTATAACCATGAATTAAGCTTAAAACCCCAAACATATTTTTCTTTTGTATATATATATATCTTAATTTCCTAACTTTTATTTGTTCAAATCACTTGTATTTAAATTGGAAATATTAAATATAGGATATATATATTTTTTATTTAGATATTAGAAACTTGCTTCATTGTCAACCTGGATCATTCCCTGGAAATACATAACATTAGCTCTTTCGACACGGGCTCAGTCAATGGGACTGACCTCGTAACCATAACCTTGTTATAGTTTACATACCAATAACTTTTAATATTTTAAG